GTACCTCTGGTGCAAATTACTGACCTCTGTCATCATTTTAAGTGGGGGAACTTGCACAATCGGTGGCTGACTAAATACTTTTTTGCCCCACTGTAAATACACACTGTGTGTCTTTTTGGCAGTTTGAGTGCTTGGATGTGATGGCGGAGCTCCCATCTGGACTGCTTGAGGCATGTGTAGTGGTTGGAGCCCACAGTGATAAGCTTCGAGATATACACCAGGTATGTATGCAGACAGTCAGTCAAAAGACAGATAAAAAGTGTGACCATACTGTTGAAGCAAAAATAGGCACACAAAGAATAAAAACAAAAAATCTGACATATTTCTGGGCTATCTGAATCCTTCCTGCAAACAAAAGCTCTTTTTGATACTTGTGGGTTGTAACTCTAGAAGGAGCAGATTTGTGCTTTTATGTAGGTCAGCCTTTAAATCACAATACCTGTGAACACTTATGTCCACAACATGAAGAGCATGATTCATTTCAAGTAGAATTGGGTGCCTTATGAACTGTTTGGCTAATCAAAAGTCTGATGTATAGAAATAATATCATGTATGCCATAATGCTTCTTAATCAGTCATACTTATTAATTTCAAAGTGTTTACAACCGTAGGTTATAGTATATATATGTAAGGGCAAAATAAATCCTCTGTATTGTTTTATATGTATGGTCTCTAAAACATGACTGAAAATATAAACATGACAAACTTCATTGCAGCTCCATCAACAGGGTAAGTTAAATGGACTCCCACTGTTGGAAGCTGAGGTACTGCAGGTCCATGCCCCGCCTTTTGTTTCCAAAGAGACCAATTCAAGCCAGGTGATTGCTCCAGCTTTCAGCCGTGTCCAGAGGAGGAGGAGCTTCATTAAGAAAGTATGTATCATTATTATTATTATTATTATTGTTATTATTATATTACACAGGATCACAGAAAAACAAATTGTCTGCTGCTTGCGGTATTTCATGTGTCTTAAACTAAAGACACTTATACTACTTACTAAAGCATACTACTGTGCTGAGTCCAAATCTGTAGTTGGATTTAGCCTAGGACGTCAGGTTCTGAAGTTGTGAGAGATTACAAAAACTTGTTCACATTAACAAACGTGTAAATAATAAGTTCACTCGAGTCTTTATGCAATACACATGCACTGTTCAAAAGTGCTTTAGGCACTTGCTTTTGCGGTTGTGAGAGTCTGCACTTGATCACTGCAGAAACCAGCAGTAATTGCCCATCATGTTGGGGTTGAAGCTGCCTTGATATCTTGTTTCCGTGGTGTCAATATCCTTGTTGGATTGTTCTCCATGTTCATCACTTACATCACCCATATTTGGACTGAAAAAATCCAGATGAGAATGCAAAAAATGCATTTTGAGTGACATTTGGCAGTCGAGTTGCTGATACGCTGCTAACATGTTGCTTACAAGTTCAACATAGTTTTCAGCCCGATGGTTGCCAAGAAAGTTTTACACAACTAGCAGAAATGCATCCCAAG